GCTAATCCACGATGACTATAAGCACCAATTACTCGAATTGTGACATTATGCGTTTCCATTAATCGAGCAGTTTCACCCATGAATTCTTTACCACCGTCACATTGTAGAAGTGTCGGGTATGTAAGAGGGTTATTGGGATTATCATAAATTTTCTTAAATGCTTTAGCAACTTCGGAACTATTCTTCGATGTTAGAGGAACACTTGCCTTGAACCTGCTACTCACATCTATAATTTGTAATACTGCTTTCCATTTTTTACCTTTATAGAAATCATGCGTAAGAAATAAGAGGTCACACTGATGTACACAATTTGGTTTTTGAATTTTACCATAACTAACCCGTGGAGTCTCTTTTGGCAATGGTGTGTATTTTTGCCATTCATTCTGGTTATGCAACCATTCACGAACCTTTTTATATGGGAAATTATATCCTTTATCTCTGATAGCATTATATAACTTTCGAGGATTGGAATGATAACCAGTACAATGGTAAAAAAGCAATTTACATATTAAGTTTAACTCCTCATCTGGATCTATAATAATACTAGGTTCGCTCAATTTATGCGAAGCATGGTCTAAGGACCTACTCATTTTCGATATATTTTACTATAGCAATAAACTATGTTTCAGCAAAGCCAAGAGATAAGCTAAGAGACAAAGTCCCCTTTCTATGAAAGACATATTATACTATAAAAAATAATCATGACATTTCATCGACCACATCCCAAGAGACAAAGTCTCCTTTCTCCGAAAGATCGAATATCTCGTGGGCTAGCATCTAATCGGGAATTGGAACTGGAGCAGGTAAATCAAGCTTTGAGAGATGAGTTATCAAATGAAGTTTCAATCAATAGGTCCAATGAGAAATACATAAATGAGTTAGAGCGTAAATGTATCAGATGTGAAAATGAAATCCAATCTCTCAATAAAGAATTGGTACGGCTTGAGAATGTTTCGGAGGGAGAAAAGGCAGAGTTGAGATTGGAGATATCATCCCTTAAAAGAAGCTTATATCAAGCTAAAAAGGAAATCCGAGATAAGGTATCCTATACTGATATTATAGAGAAGCA